CCCTAGAATTCATCTATAAGCATATTTTCATATTCCATCTATGACCTTAAAAATAATAATGGTTGCATCTATATGCTTCTTTTCTCACATAGAATAAAGTTTTCCTGAAGTCATGGGAGCCCTTTGAAGGTGCATAACCCATAAAAATGGTAATAAAGGTTTAGAAATAGGTTGCCAGAGGCATTAGTATGTCAGCAAGGTAATGCTATATGGTGTTTCTATATGATAGCAAACTCCGACTGATTGGAAGCATCTATGTAAATCTATGATGGATGGCGTTATCTAAGTCTGCAGTTCTAGAACTTCTCAGGCTTTAGAAAATGAACACTAGTAATTTTCACAGAGTGCCTCTAAAAATGAACAATTTCTTAAAATTGCAAGAAAAGGAAACTGAGGCAGGAAGAATCTTGGTTGCCTGCTTTAGTTGCAGAACTTAGTATAATAAGTTCTCTTTAATAATTCAATTTTTCAATAGTTCCAAGACTTTGTCTTCTAAAAATAAATGGTGAATTAACATAGGGCTGCTAATCTTTTATATACCCAAGAACATTCTTAATGTATTGTTTATTCCCTTAACATTTCTAGAAGTAAGGAATAGTTTGTTGTAAACATCTTCGATTGCTTATATTCAGTTTACTGTGAATATAAACTGGAATAAATTGTGTTCTGTCAAGAAAGGATGAATTTGACTTGGCAGGATTTGAAATGCAGGTAGTGTGTCTCAAATTAAATCCCAAATTCCAACATTCAGCACTGACACCTAGAAATGTTTGTTTGAACTGATGATTCCCATAAACTGCTTTTAGGTTGCTTATATCAATATTTATTGGGTCATTGGAAAAGTCGAGGTAAAAATGCATCATGATTTTTCCAATGACCTAATAGAATAAAAACTTAACTGTGTAAAAACTTTATAAAGTTTTTTAAAGAGTATTCGGCCCAGTTATTATAATTACACAGGACAACATACCTGCATAATTAGCTGCAGTCTGTTTTCTTGTGTTAAATTTGAGATTAAAAATGTAGAAAAGATAAAATCAGAATATAGGATTACGTATATCCTTTTTTCTTAAGTAGACATAACCTGTAGCTTTCTCTACAGGATAGTGAAAACATCACCATGGAGCAGCATCTGAGAACCCTGGGGTTTGAACAATGGACAGTGACCTAATTTCCACTATTCTTAAAGAGTTGACTCTTCCTTTCCTTTAGAATATGCATGTGTTTAAAATATAACCATCCATCCCATTCTTGTGCAGGCCAGTAGTCCACGTGTAATAAGTAGACTGGATATCAAAAAGATTTATAAATAATCTTTCAATTTATGTTTTCTTCTGATTTTGAATTCCCAGAGAAATTAATATATCTCCTCAGAGTCTTCCTTAAAAGAAATATTCAAGAGACGAGGGAGGAGGATAGCAAAGATAATTAAAGAGTCTAAAATCCACATCTCTGAAATATACTATTTTTTTTCACGCAGGACAAAAATGGGAGAACATCGTGGAGATTATCTCATTAAGACACGTATTTCAATGCACGTGTATTGGCTGTAGTCTGGGGAAGACATTAGGCCTTCTTTTAGGAGACAGTAGGTGGATCCATTATATTATTTCAAAAGACAGGAGTTGAGAAATCAGAATATTTCCAGATTGTAGGCCTATTTTCATATGGAGATTAAAATCTAGAATAAAGAAAAGGCAGGGGAAAAAATGATTTGGAAATAAAAAAGTGTAGTCTCCAGCTGAGTCTAAAGAAAGGCGTCAGGACAGTTACAGAAATCTTCAATTAAGGCTTACAGTTGAAAGTCTGGATATAACAAGATTTCAGAGAAATGAAACTTTAGGGTTTAAATGTCTTCTATCACACAGAGGTGTCATTCTCCACACAGTGGTAGGTCCCAGATTGACACTTGCAGGTCTAGGCTATGTACTCCCTCTTTTAGAAGCATCATGTAGTTTTCAGATTTAAGTTAAATCTTGTTAGGCTTTGGCTTTGAGTTGAATGAAATATCAAGAATAAAGCAACATTTGAAAGATTAAACACTGTACTTCTTTTTCTTTTCTTTTCTTTTTTCTTTTTTTTTTTTTGAGGGTTTTTTGCAACAGGGAGAGTGTGCTTGCCAGAGAGACAGAGAAAGACAGAGAGAAGAAAGCAAGAAATCACTCCCAGGGAGGATGGCCATGCCGCAATCCTTTCTCCTCCATTCTCCTCTTGTGATCTTGGGCACCCATGCACACGTGCCTGGAATGAATTTTAAGCCACAGGGCCGAGACTCAAACCATGGTCGACTACTACGTGGGAGTTCAACGACCTAGCCATTATGCTAACTGCTGGTCCCTGTGCTTCTTTTTCTATGTTGTTTTTAGGTGATCTGGTTTTTTTAAAACGTGAATTACACTCAAAAAGAGATAAGCTTACTAAATTATGATGGAACAATTCTGTGAAATTTTCAATCAAATTAGTCATTATGGACACTGTACTGGAGAAATCTGCAAAAATTAAAATTACATTTCATGTCATTATGAATGATACTTCTAATTTGCAAAACATTTAAGATAACAAAACATGGCTGGCCCTATGACCTGATGGTTAAGAAATTCTGATCCCATGTGGCCACTCACATGGTTTAAGTCCAGTCCCAAGCAGGTTGAAAAACACTGAACGCATGTGCATGTGTGCCCCAAATCCAGACAGGATGGAAAATTGTTGGGAAAGGGATTATGGCATGGCCATGAGCAACTGGGGAGTGCTTTCTCCTTCTCCCTTCCTCTCTATCCCTGTCTCTCTCAAGCATACATGTACTCTAGCAATTTTTTAAAAAATGGAAAATAGCAAAACATCTGATGTTTTATATTAAATATTAATCTCTTTGTGTGAAATACTACATTTTTTTCAAGGTCTACAACATTAAAGAATTCACAGTGTAGCTTATGAATTTTATGTTTATGTTTTTCTATTCTCTGTATGTGTTTTTCTCCCTAGAAGTGGAAACTCATCAATGCCAGTATCCTCTACTGGAGGAGAACCATTCGTAAATGTAAAGACAGCAATTAATGGCAGCTTAATACTGACACCCAGGTGGGTCCTAAAATCTTCTTCTGTACTAGAGGTAGATGGACTGGAAAGATTTTTGAAGTCAGTCAGATTTGAATGATACTACATAGTGACCTTATATTCCTGAAATTTCTTTTATTTTTCAGGTAATCTTAAATAATATCTAATAGATCCTATCTGATAACATTGTCTAACTCTCATATATATAGCAAAATGGTGAGATGAATATATCTGTCTGACAGTGGTTTAATAAATTTAATTCTATACAATGTTTTATCCTTCCCTAGGATCCATTAACAATTAGGGGACCAGCAGGTAATGTGGTAGGTGGGGTGTTGGACTCCTATATGGCTGACCTGGCAACTTGCTTTCTCACTTTCTCTCTGTCTCTTTCTGATGAACTCATGTGCCCTGCCATAAATTAAATAATGATAGTGATAAATAAAATTAAATAGTTCTTAAATAATCAATTAAATCCCATAGACAGAAACTGAGACTTGGGATAAATAAATCCAATATCTGATTAAAAAGAGTGACACAAATTAGCTACCAACAACAGAGAAGGAAGAGGAGAAAGTTATATTTTTATTTCTTCTTTAGGAAACAGAACAAGAATATTAAGTGAAGGAGTGTAGACTTCTTGTTGTGTCACTGCAATCTCTTTGACTTTTTAAGATTAGGTTTACTGGGGGGAACCGGCAGTTAGTGTAATGGCTATGTCGCTGGACTCCCATGTAGTCAACCGTGGTTCGCATCCCGGACCCGGTGGCTTAAAACTCACGCCGGGTGCATGTGCGTGTGTGCCCAAGATCCCGAGAGAAGAATGGAGGAAAAGGGATTGGGGCATGACCATCCCTTCTGGGGGGTGATTTCTCACTTTCTGTCTCTATGTCTCTCTCTATCTGTCTGGCAAGCGCACGCGCCCTATAGCGAAAACCTCTCAAAAAAAAAAAGAAAGAAAGAAAGAAAAAAAAAAAGATTAGGTTTACTGGGGACCAGATAGTGGTACAGTGGCAGAACTCTGGCCCTGTCAAGCAACCTCACATCACCAGTGAATAAAATCCAGACTTCCCAGAGTATGCTGCCATATGTGAGCCTATGATCTCAGGATGGCTAAGGGCTGGAAGTGGATCATGACGTGAGGACTCTGTTGGTGACATCCTTTCTTTCCCTCTCCCTGTCACACTTGCTCATGGAAGAAATAGATTAGAATAATTTTTTTAAAAAAGATTAGGTTTACTTTACTCTTGTTAACTTTTACTAACATATTAAAAAGCAGCATCCATCATGTACTCAAGATCTGTTTTAGATTAAATTATGTCATTTTTCCTGTTCAGGCATTAATGGCAATTTTTGTTGTAATGGGCTTCAGAATTTTACAGTTCCACTACAGGCCAGCAGTGGGTAGGAAGAAAGTAACTTTAAGAAGAAGCCGTATTGAATGAGAAGGATTTAAGGTGCTATTTTTGGTATAGTTTGTTTACCATATTTAACGGTAAAAATAAAATGTAATATGTAATTATTGAGCTATTTATGAAAAGTTACCATTTCTGTAAGTTCAATCACTAAAACCAATTTGTAATGGAGTATTTTTAGTATCAAGTAAAGGACTTTACATGTGAGGGTTTTATATCAGTATTTCCTGGGCCTTGACTGACACTGTGAGCCTCACTGTGGCTGAAGCAGATTCTGCAAGTGAGAAAGCAGGCTTCTAGCTATGCTTTTTATAAGGCTTGTCTAAATTTATATTACCATGATCAGTCTTTTTTTTTTTTTTTTTTTTGAGAGGTTTTTTTCACTATAGGGCGCGTGCGCTCACCAGACAGACAGAGAGAGACATAGAGACAGAAAGCGAGAAATCACCCCCCCAGGGTGGATGGTCACGCCGCAATCCCTTCTCCTCCATTCTCCTCTCGGGATCTTGGGCACGCACGCACACGCGCCCGGCGTGAGTTTTAAGCCACTGGGTCCGGGATGCGAACTGCGATCGACTACATGGGAGACCAGCGACATAGCCATTACGCTAACTGCTGGCTCCCCCATGATCAGTCTTGAAGTAGTTTGGACCTTGAGAATTTCTTCTGTTCATGTCTTGTAGACATTTATGAATTAATAAGAAAAAACAATGGGAATTTTTTTTTAATGTTTTTTTTGGCCTAGGGGACATGCCTAGCTGGAGAGAGACAGAGAGACAGAGAGAGAGAAAGTGAGAAATCATTCCCCAGGGGAGATGGCTATGCCTCAATTCCTTCTCCTCCATTCTTTCCATGTATTGGGGATATACACACACCCAAAATGATTTTTAAGCCATGGGGTCTAGGACTCAAACCATGACTGACCATGTGAGAGTCAGTCGCTGTAAACACCATGCCACCTGCTGGCCCCATAAAAGAAAATATTTAAAATAATCTTAATTATATGTATGTTCAAAGCAGAACTTTGAACTTCTGCTTATCAGCAAAAATGCCCATATCATCTTACATTGATATTACTATTACATGTATATTTATGTTATTTCAAAGAGACGTCCTTTATAAACATGAACCTTTCATTGCACCAACAAGTCAGGTAATTAAATATCATTAATCCCTTTCTTAGATAGGTGCACTATATTGGATTGGCAGAAAATCAGGAATACATTCATTCATTTATTTAGTTAGTTTACTTATGCATTTTTATTGCACAGATGATTACGTTTATTGCTCCATGAGAACTATTGCCTTTGAAAATACCCTTGTGCTAGTGGTTGTGATAATAAATAATTAAATAAAAGGATGCTAGGGAAAATGATTCCCTCAATATGGAAACCTACTGACCTCTATCCCATTTTTATTCTATTGTGAGACTTATGCAAGACTCAGAACCATTTCTCACTGTGAAGAAAATTAATATCACCAATCTGACCTGATATAACTAATCTGTTATGCAATTCATGCAGTTGCTAACAGTAGGCTCCACTTTCCTCTTGTTCTTTGGACCTCTTCAGTAGTATGAAAATTTGATTTAATATGTATTGACCAACATGTTCTAAGTATGGTGCTACAGGATACAAAGTGTTTATCAGATACTTTATTAAATGCCTATTATGTGACAGCCACTGTGATAGGAATAATACAAGAGTTATTTCCAATCCATATAAAAGCTCTATTGCTTAGGTAATGTTTCACTCTATGGGTGAGGGATGGAAAGTGTTTATTAGTGTTTATCAGTGACTTGCACAAGTTTGTAAAGCTTGTAGGCAACATGGAAGAGTGTAACCCAAGTGTTTGACACCAAAGCCCTCTACTTTCCACTTTAACATATTTTTCTTATAAATTCTGCAAGGTAGCATTTCACTTTAAGTAACAATTGTAGAAAGGAGAAAGAGAGAGAAATTGTGGATTTTGCAACAAGAGAAAAGACCATGTTGCTGAGCATAAATTGAGAGAGAACTTAGTTCTTTTCTGTCAGTGTATTAGATATGAACCCAACCATTTACATCACTGTGTTGTCCCTCCAGTCTACAAGAAAGGCACAGAGTCACAGCATTGTCATCCTTCCTGTACAGAGAACTAACCTAGCTCCAACTCCAGTACCAAAGGCCAGAACACGAATTCTGTTTTCCTCCAATTTTTGTAAATATTCTTGGGCAACTGTAGCTATACTGCTCATTCTGACTAGAATTTAAGTAACTTACTTCTCTGCCCTGAAACATTGAATGTGTGTGTTTTTGTATGAAAATTTTGATGACTAAATTGCATGAAAATGAATTTCTAAATTCAGTTAAATTTTGTAGTTACTCATTAAATTAATCAGAATATATTATGTGTTTAATAAAAACAAATTCAATTGTTTATATACTACAGAATAGTAAGCATTACTAAACCTTTCTAAGACCATTACAATACTTCAAAAAGGTGAATCATTTTAAATATAGATTTTCACTGATGAGTACTGTAGCTGTATAGTTTAGATGAAATTTGGCAATATACTAGAAAGCACCCTAGAAACTATTAATATTTCTCTCTCAATTATAAGTGGATGTAAAAACAAGAGTTAAATGAGGCTTCTACTTTTGGGTGTTATAGATACATACTGACATATCTGTATGTATATCATTATGCATAAAAGGCATGCTGGCTATTAATAAAGTGTATGTCTATAGAAATTATTTAGTCAAAAGTGTAGGCCAATCAGACAGCAAGGATACAGGTGATTTCCAATAAAATGTATCATATTTGTTCCAGAAACACTGACTTGGTTTTATGGGACATAAAGATATTAGGTCTTATTTTGTGTTTTGTTTTGTTCCCTAAAAGTTTATGTACATATACAACCACAACAAAAACACATATATAGATAAGTACATAAATATACATTTTTAAATGTTTTGTGTATAAATTTATGGTTCTGTGACCAGTATCTGCAGTGGCTGCATTATGAAATTGGGCAAATACTTTAATTCCTTGTGCTATCCTGACCTCTAGTGGTGGTAAGGTTGTAAAACAAATTTTCTTTGTTTAATTTTTGTTCAAAGTAAAATTCTGGGCTTTTGAAGTTTGTATACAAATTTTTAAAAAGGTAATGCATTTTTTAAATAAATTATGCCTACACTTTGTTTTTTATTTTCTATTTACATGTCTCATCCTTGAAAACAGTTCCCATGCTCCATTCATCATTCCGTTGTCTGAACGAAGCACACAGCTATCCAGGGTTGCACACTGAATTGTTGCGGGATTAGCAATACTGAGGCATACTCTCTATTACAGAGTAGTGGAATCCAATTTGGTTCAAACGAGAGCACAATATCGATCATGTATCAGGTGTTCATTGTATATTGGGGCACGATGATATCCCGCTGCCAATATTTCTTTCATTCTCACAAAATTCCTGTAAAGTTAAGTACTGCTACCCTAACTTTATGCATGAGGAAAATAGATCTCAGAGATAGTGCATGATTTACCCAAAGTGACTCGAAGGCTAAGTGACAGAGCCATATAAACCCAGCTCAATTTGACTTTAAACTGGAGCTTTTCTGCTATACATCTCAGCTTCCTGCATTATTTCGTATACCATCCCTGCATTAAAACATCCCCTTTTGGGGGGCCAAATAATGCCATGGTGGCAAAATGCAATGTTCTATGAGGCCATTCCACACGAAAGGTTTTTGGTTCAAGTCCAGAGACCTCCCTGAGTACAGAGGGTACGTGCTTACACACAGTCGGGGATGACTAAAGGCTAGGGGTGGATCATGATGTCAAGACTCTGTTGTGTATGTTCTCTCCCCATCCATAGAAAGAATAAAATAAAACAAAAAAACTGTAAGAAGTCATTTTACACTAGGCTTTACTTTAAAATGTTAAGGGCAAACTTTGTGAAATATAATTGTTCTTCCATTGCAGTGAACAGTGTTTCCAGGACTCCCTGATTCAGTTACAATGCAATCATAGATGTAAGTAACTGTTTTGCCATGTTGTCCTTTAAGACTTCACTTTAAAATTCTGAATGGGGTTTGTGTGCCACCCAAAGTTGTTTTGTCACCACTCAGTTTGCATGGTCAGAAAAAAAGCCACCAACATCAATTAGATGCCTTTTTCAATTATTTTAACAGCATGTGGAAAAAAACTAATGGCTCAAGAAATCAGCCCAAAGATTGTCGGAGGAAGTGATGCCAAAGCAGGTTCCTGGCCCTGGCTTGCTGCTCTGTACTATGATGGCCGGCTGCTGTGTGGTGCGTCTCTAGTCAGCAGTGACTGGCTGGTGTCAGCTGCACACTGTGTGTATGGGTGAGTGTGACATAACACGTCACTTTTCAAGTAAGGTTCTCACAGCAGACACTGCCAAAGGAAAAATTCTTACTGTTTATGACATCATAAACCTATCATTTCCCATTAAAATCATGTATAGGAAAAAAGTTCAATTGAAAAATTACTCTTCAGTCCAGCCACAGTAATGATTGCATAATACTGGAGCCTTAGGTGAAGGCCCAGAGCTTGATTCCAGGTTGGCTTAAATACACTGGCCACACCTGTGATCCTGGCTGGCTAGAAAGGGAGACGGGCAGGTAGCTGTGACAAGATCATGTCAGGGGTACCTGTCTCTACCTCTCTTTCAACAAAAGGAAAAAAGGGAACATATGTATATATATATATACACACACACGCACACACGCGCAAACACACACATATACACACCACACACACACACACATATAGTTCTTAGGAAAGTAATAATGCATTTTTACATAGAAAAACTGAAAAATATGCCATGACTTTTCCTACAACCTAATCATTATTCTTCATTTCGTATTTATAACAAGTTTTATGTTTCTGACATACATTAAAGCAGAAATGTTTAGTTATTGACAAGGTAAGTATTTTGAAGAGTGTGAAGTTGGTATTTAGGGCATAAATTGGGCTGGTTATCATCCACTCAAGCCAATATTTAGTGTTAACGAATGGTCAGATTCAAAAAACCTTCATAGTTAACCCTCAAGTTCCACATATTGGGCTCTAAAAGTTTACATAAAAGCTCTTTGTTGTGAATCAGGATCAAATCAGGATCAAGACGTTTATTTAGGTCTCAAGTTAGACCTCTGCTGATGCCACTTGTAACAAAACTCCAGAAATAATATTAACATTTATCTGTTTTTGTAATGTAATAGGGAAAAATACATGTTGAATTTTAAGATTTATTTCCTCTCTCTAAAAGCAGCCACTTCTGAAGCAGTGTCACAGGAGAGGCGAGAGTTTGTGGAGGAGACAGGGAGGAAAGTAAAATGGTCCTGGGTCCAAGAACATGTTAATTCTCTGCTTCCACATGAGAAGAGGCACCTCTTTAGATAGTCAAGTCGTATTCCAACAGTTCTCAATTTGGTCAGAAAAAATAAAGGAGGCTCCTCCTAGGAGATTTGTAAGCCTCAAGTAGGACCATTTTCTGTTTCTAAATGAGTTTGAGAGGCTTTCAGAGAATACTTGTACCCATGAGGATTAGAATGCACCTCCCCATAGGCAGCACCCAGAATCTCTGAAGATAGAATTATGTGTGCTCATACAAGAAAAAGGTAGCTATATTTAATCAGGTTAAAAAAATAACTCTCCCTCCCAACACAGACAATTACAATTCTTGGGAAAATAAAGACAAATTGTCAGATACAAAGGATTATGATAGTTTGAGGGGAGTTAAGGAGAGTCAGTGAGAATGGGCATTAAATGACTCAGCCAATGCTAGCATGCCCATAGCAAGAAAACAAGAATAGACTTGAATATGTAATCCCAGGAATCTGAAGATGAAGGATACTCAGTGAGATCTCAGGTTGGCCTACTAGCTGGGTCTCAGAGAAGCTATCCAAGGTGCTGCTCCATCTATTAATATTTCTAAAGCCTTCTTGGATTTTATGCATTGAATGCTGTGTCTAGGTGACTAAATGACAGCCTCTCCCATAGCCAAAATGTATCCCCTTGACATTGGTGCATTCTCATAATTATATATTAGTGTGCTTTCACCATATCATAACAAATATCAAAGCACACAATTTTCCCATCCACTGCTAAACATAGCTATAATTCTACCTATATAAATTTTCTGCCTTGAACATGTCACAGATGGGTAAATCCATATCCTAACTGTGTTACAAGTAGAAGATACTTTTATCTAAAAGTTCAGTGTTTTTTATTGCACAGAGGTAAGTCTTAGAAAGTTAGCAACCTTGCAATAGCAACCTTAGATTTGGTAAATTCCTCTGTTAGATGACCATGCAGAACATATGCTTTCTAAATGTCAACCAGGCTGGTGGTAATATTAGTGACATCATTCAATTATCTGCCTTCCACTGTACTTCTTATAGGTCAATGATACCAATACCATATCTTTTCAAACCACAAATACACAAAGGAAATAGAAAGGCGGTTTCATCTAATATAAACACATGTTCAATCATATAGGACATAAAATGTCTTTTCACACAGTTTCAATTAACACAAGCAAACAAAGGTAAGCTGTAGCAGGATTGCAATGAATTCAAAATTATCCTTCACAACCTTGCATTTTGCTCTCCTTAGCCACTCAACATAGTTATTTTCTTCTCTAATTTCCAAGTGTTTTCTTGCTTTCTATTTAATGTCTCTAACAAGAGCAAGGAAATTTCTGCTATTCTTTTAGATAGATTGATCAAAGAATAATTTACTAATATGCTAATGCTGCCTGTTAATTGTATTTTTAAAACCCTAATTGTGCAATGAAAAGCTTATTTTTGTAATAAAAATGATAAGGCAGATCAAGGAACTAATTGAACTCATGTTAAATAAATGGCTTACTCTCAATCTAAACTTGTTCCAGACATCTTAACCTGCTTTTGATTGGATGATTTAACTGGACAGCTCTTCTCCGAACTCTAATCTCATTGTCAACCCTCCCATTCACATCCCTAGGTTCAGAGCTCTTAGATGTTCCACAATATCTCTGTACCTATTCTGTTCTGTCACTGACTTATCTTTGTTTACAACTTGAAGAGGGATTTAGAAAAGCATGGGTCAACTTTGCTGTGGTTTAAATGACAAGGTTGACTTTGAATCTGAGGACAGGATTCTAATCCTACATATGCAACTGACCTCATGTGTCATTAAAGATATACCACTTAGTATATCTTGAGTTTCAGATTCCTCATCTCTAGGTTGACCATAAGGATTTCTACTCTCCGAAGTGACTGTAAGGATGAAATTAAGATGTTGTGATTATTTTGCATACTGTGAACCATGCAAATGTGCAATAAAAAATCCATTGTGTTGCTGCCCTGCATCGAAACCCTCCTTGAAAGAAAAGTTCAAGTCTTGCACAACATATATTCAGCATATTTGTTTCCTGAACTGTTTATATTGATATAATTTTAAAAGTGCATAAAAATTACAAGAAGAGTACAAAGAACCCCTTTTTTTGAAAAATGTTTATTTTATGAAAAAGAGAGAGAATGTGAGAGTAGTATGTTCTAAGGATCTAGTCCTGTTGAATCCACTTCCAATTTCCCAGACAGTCAGGACCAGGGGCACACCCACACACATGCTTCATATGTTCAAGGTAAGAGGATTCAAACCTGGGCCTCTAATGTGGCTCCAGATTCATCAATTGCTTACATTTCACTATGCTAAATAATCCACATTATCAGGTTATTTACCTATTTACCCATATGTTATTTCCCAATGACCTTATACATTATTTTAGCGTTATTGGGAAATTCATGACACATTTTTGCATAGGAAAATATGTCATGACTTTCCCAGCTACCTAATATTTTTGCTTGGTCTGTCAATGTGGAGATTGTTTTCATGAACCATTTGTTAGTAGGTTAGACGTTGTGTCCCATTAGCCTCATGTACTTCAGTCTATTTTTACTAAGGAAAAAGGTGTTTTCCTACATAATCACAGCAAATTATAGAAATGTAGCATTAATGCAATTAGATTAGATAATACAGTTATCTAATCAATGGTCCCTAATATGCCCTTTAGTTTGTATGCTTGACACACAAGACCCAAGCCACTGCATTCAACTTTCACATCATTTTTATCTCTTTTGATCTGGAATAACCACTCACCATTTTGTCTTTTTGTCTTTGATATTTTTTTAACACAAGCCACTTCTATTGTAGAAAGCCTATCTGGAAAATTCTTTCAAGTTTTTTTTCTTCATTGGTCTTGATATATACCAAGTATTCGAGACTTCACTTTCTAGAAAAATTAAATGTTCTAGATTAACCTTGTAGTTTCTCTAACCTAACCTTGAATCAACCTCTATTTAAAAAAAAAAAAGGCAAACCTTGCTTTCATTTTACTAATTCCAGTTCTTCCTACACTTAACTAATGGCTACTGCTAGTATGTCCCATTCCTACCTTCTAGATAGACACAGCTATATCCCTAATAATATGGGTTCAAAAGAATAACTCTAATTCAAATAAAATACCACAGGATATATTCCAATCTTGTCTTCTTCTGTATTTGTAACTCTTGTCTCCAATAATGAAAAACTGTGTTCCTACTTGTCCATGAACCATTTATATATATTCTGAAGCACAGGGCAGAAAAAGTAGTTTGAGAATTGCTAACCCATATTTCTATATAAAGCAAACTTATCAACCAGAGTTCAATTGCTGACATAGGGAAAACTGCATAATCTTAAGTGATAATCTTATGTGTTTGAAAATTCATACACTCCTATCATGATATAAAACATTCCCATAATCTAGAAAGCTCTTTTATACCCCTTCCCAGTAATTACCTTCCCTGCTTCCAGAAGCAACCACTATTGATCACTTAGGTGGGCAGTCATGCATATTAGATTTACAGTCTGAATCACATTCATTCAATAGACATATATTAAAGATGAAACTAGCCATAGAGAAACTCTGGCCAATTTTCTATTCTTTAACTTCCCTCTTAAGAACAGGCAAAATAAATCACATAGATTACTTCATTCCTTATTGAAACAACTCTTTGAAACAAGTATTAATGTTACTAAAAGATTATTTCATTCATGAAGCAGTTGAGGTATGATGAGAAAGACACACTATTATTTTTATATTTTATATTTTTTTATTTTTTATTTTAGTTTTTTGCATAAGGCATGTGCACTCACTGGGGAGAGAGAAGGAAGGCAGAATGTTACAGGAACTATTCTTTGGCTTTTTGGGTAGGTGAGTGCGTGTCTTGGAGTTTCAATCATAGCTACCTTTTTGAAAAACAAAAACAAAAACAAAATAGCTACCAAATCCATGAGCAGTCCAACTAATACTGAAC